ACACACACACACACACACACACACACACAAACACACACACATTATGATAAAGAACCTACCGTTTGGCCAACATGCACGTCTGTCCCCAGTTTCAAACGAGGTGAGTTCACGTCAAAGGCAAGGCGCTCCTCGTTCACCTGCAATGAAGTGCGCGGGTCAGGTCTGCTTGAACCAACCCCCTCCCCTCCTCTCCTGCGACCCCATATCTTAACCCTATCCGTACGCTCTGGAGTCATTTTGTAACCCCGCGGTTATATTCTTCACATTTTAGAATACTTCAAGTACGAAGATATCTTTGAAACTTTCACTATTTCTCAAAAAATCATTTTGACAGACTGCTCTGCAAAGCGTACGGATCGGATTAACGAGTAAATTTCCTCTTTCGAAAGTGGTGGCACAGAGTTCCCCACGTCGTATGAATACGATAGTAAAACACGACGTACGGATAGGGTTAAGTGGTGGCACAGAGTTCCCCACGTCGTATGGATACGATAGTAAAACACGACGTACGGATAGGGTAAACTTAAGTTTACAGAGTATTTCTTGCATAACGTCATGTCGACACACGTGTGTCCCCACAGAGAGGGGAGAACCTTGATGTGCGCAGTAGGTCAAGTAAGATCCGAATGGGGGGCTTAAGTAGCCCTTTACCGTTGGTGTAAAGATGGCATACAACTGTATTTAGAATTAAAGAGTCTGATTTTTATCTTGACGTTTAATTTTAAAAATTACCTTGAACTTTCCTGAATGTGAATAGAAGGACCCACTGAACATAAACAGAGCAATATAGGTGCACACTGGTTGTCTCAAACGTACATGTGAGCTATATATATATATATATATATATATGTGTGTGTGTGTGCGTGTGTGTGTGTGTGTGTGTGTGTGGAGTGTGCTGACTAAATGAGTTACTTCTCGGATTAGGGCTCTATGGAAATAGATACATCATGCTTAGAGGTGCAGTTTTTATAATTTGTAAGTATGAAATAGCAAAAGGCATTTACTACTTTATGAATATTGCATCAATAACAAACCTAGAAATTTGACCCAAGTGTCGATTTTTGGTCAATATCTCCATTTGCGGATTGTGAGAAGTAAATCATTTTGTCAGCACGCCTCACATATGCATATATATATATGTGTCACCTCTGTCTCGGCTACAAGAATTAGATCTCTGAAAACCACCAACATATTTTAAAAAAGTTATAACGTTTTATGTTAGCCCACCTTTTCTTGTTGTACCAAGGACGACTTTCGAAATACTAAAAAGACTTTGGGGGTACGGAACAAACATTAAAACACTTATCACATTAGACCAATACTTACTTCTTTCATTGCTGCTGAGTAGCTTCAACGGCGACGGGAAATATTCTAAGATGATCTGTTAAATTTTCAGGTTGTTGTTGTTGTTTTTTTGTCAACAAGGGCAAGACGCGTAACTGGTATTTGACCGAGAATTAGACTTGTAAAATAAGACAGCGTAGTGTGTTAAAATACAAAAACGCAGACAGAACACTTCGCAAGAGAGCCCACCATTCGCTCACGTATTACTACGAGAGGTCTTAATTTACTGGTCTCACCCCTCAATTAGATTGTTTGTGCGTGTACGCCTGTATGTGTTTTTTAGGGGGGGGGATGTAAATGACAAGATCCTCTCCACATCAGAAATGAATGTTTGGACTTTCTTTTCTTTCTTTAGTCTTCTTTACATAAATTCTGGACCAGATTCTAACCTTGTGGGTGGTTGGCAGGTGCTCTGGTGGGGTTTTCTCCTTATCTCTCCTTTTTTTAGATTGTCATTCTTTTATAACACCTCTAATCTTCGTTTAACTTTAGCATCAACATTATCATCATTATCATGATCATCATCATGATCATCATCATGATCATCATCATGATCATCATCATGATCATCATCATGATCATCATCATCATCATCACCATCATCATCATCATCATCATCAGCAGCAGCAGCAGCAGCAGCAGCAGCAGCAGCAGCAGCAGCAGCAGCAGCAGCAGCAACAGCAGCAG